ATACTTAACGATAAATTTAATCATCTGAGCCCTACAACAGCTACTTAAAAACAGAGCCCTACAACAGCTACTTAAAAACACTACTTTAACACCACGCACCTACTACAGTCATTACTTAACGACACTAGATCAATGGCGAGCGACACCTGGCGATACTTAACAACACTTAAAAGACTCAATGACACTTGAAACAACTCCAACTAGTTTATTAAGTACTTAACGAGCACTTAACTGCCATCCTTAAGACGACATTTACTTAAAAATACTTATAAAACTTACAAATTACACCGGCCTGACAATATTCTCTGTTTTAATGATGGTATAGTCTCAGTTGCATTACGACGCCATCTTGAACTAGCTGGAACAATTTTTTAACATATGAACTCTTGAAAAAAAAAATCTTCCATGGAAACATATTTTATTTATTTTTAACTTGAATTACAATCGTTTTTTCCAATCAGTATAGTGACCAGTCTAGTCTCCTTCCAATCAGTAATCGACACTCAATAGTCCGTCCCAATCACCTCCTTCTCCTACACCACAAGCTAATCGCCCTAATCACCCCCCCCCCCACCCCACCCCCTCTTTCTCAGACCAATCATCAAGCTCCTCCCAAACCCATGAGGCAGTCTCTAATCAACTACGGCCGAGAGTTGAGTGCAGTGTAAGTCTGAGGAGGTGTGGGTGGATGAGGGGGGAGGGGGACAGGGGGGGGAGGGGGAGGGGAGGACAGAAGGGGGAGGGGGAGGACAGGGGGGGGAGAGGTAGGTGGGAGGAGGAGAAGGGGAGGTGTGGTGGGAGGAGGAGGACTGACTGCAAGCAACACTCTGGGGGAAAGGGTTACCTATCTTCCCTCCTGCTCCTCCTCCTGCTCCTCCTCCTTCTTCGCCTCCCTTTCATCTTCTTCCTCTTCCTTCCCCTGGTATGCAAGTGGGAAGAAGAGAATTATGCAAGACATTCCTCTCCTTCCCCTTCTCCTCTTCCTCTTCTTTACTCTAATCCCTTCTTTCTCCTCCACCTCCCCCTTCTCCCTCACCTCCACATTCTCCCCACTTCCATATCCTCCCCACACCCTACCATGAAAGAAGTTCCTCCCTTACCCTTCTTACTCCCCTCACCTCCTCCTTCTCCCCTTCCTTCCTTCCTTCCCCTTTCATCACTCCTCCCCATCACCAACCACGTTTCAGACAGCTATATCCCTTCCCCACATCCCCCACTGTGTAAGATTCTCCTCCCCACCCCAACTAACTTCCTCCCCACCCCACTAACCCCCTCCCCATCCCATTCACCCCCATCGCGCTCACCCCTTCCCCAAACATTCCCCCCCCTTCCTCCTGCCTTCCCCCACCGCTGAGAGACCCGGATTTAGAGCTCTCGGTGGGAAGGCATAAATACTCTTAATTCAGGGTTACGCGAAAGCCGAGGTGTATCATTGTGCTAAGGGGGTTAATGTCATCGTACTCAAGGGGTTAAGGTCGTATACGGGAGGGACATCAACGTACTCAAAAGGGTACTCAAGATGGTTTAAGCTAATGTGTACTCAATGGATTAAGCTACTGCATATTCAAGGTGGTTAAGTTATTGTACTCAAGGGGGTTTAAGCTACTGTGTACTCAATGGGTTATGCTACTATATACTCAAGGTGTTAAGTCACTGTGTACTCAAGGGGTTAAGTTATTGTGTACTCAAGGGGTTAAGTCACTGTGTACTCAAGGGGTTAAATTATTGTAATCAAGGGGTTAAGTCGCTGTGTACTCAAGGGGTTAAGAGTATATTATCACCATTATGTTATTCCTCCTCGAGACAACGTTTAGAATTTACGTCAAGATGGGTACAGGTAAGTTCCTTCAAGCCTAAAATATTCTTGTTTTTACCTTACAAAAAAAAAACGTAAACAAATCCGGATTCAAAGACCAATTCAATTCCAGAACGCTAAAACAAACCACCGGATCTAGAACATAAACACAAATGGATTCCAAATTAAAATAAACCCGTTAAGATTGTAAACACACCCACATACCCCCCTCTTAAAAACCGGAATAAATACCTTTATTCCCTTTATTAAAAATATAAATAAAACAAATCCGGATTGACAGCTGTGAAGAGGTGGATTCTCACTCACGAACGACAACACTAAAGTCGTGGCATCTTCACCTAAACACTAACACTCCGCCGCCACCTCATGCAGCTAGGGGCGCGCACACACACACACACACACACACACACACACACACGCAAAAAAAAAAGAAACTGGAGGCCATACATCTCGAGTTGACAGGACAGCATCAGAGAATCATAACAATAATAAGAATCTCTGGGGGAGGAACCAGCCACACCTACCAAGGCTTCAGGGCGGGAAATCACATGTAAATAGACTTAACTAGGAGCCTTGGTGGAGTCTCTCCCTTACACGCCTTGGGTCCTGGAAGCCTCCTTGGACTCGCTGGAATGAAGATGATGATGATATTGTGTGCGTGTGTGTGCGTGTGTGTGTGTGTGTGTGTGTGTAATGTTGGCCTCTCTGACGGGTACAAGTATGTGTGTCCCCCATAATTGGTCCACTTAAACCCCGGTACAAACCTTCGAGCCAAGATGGCGTCCAAACTTACCCAAGACTCACTAGTGACTGGGGGTGGTGGTGCATGGAGAGAGAGTATAGTATAGGTCTACAGCACACACACACACGCTAGAGTACACACATGGAAAATAATTATGGGGCATGGCATACTGTACACACGGGTACACACGATGGTACACACACGGGGTATTTACACTGTGTGTGTGTGTGTGTGTGTGTGTGTGTGTGCTGTTAGTGTACATGCGTACATATCTTCATGTATACATTACATATATCAGTGTGTTTACAGACAGACAGACAGACGCTACTTACACGCACACACGTGGTTGACCAGAGGGTGAGAGCTGTGGAGGAAGGGGTGTGATAAGTGGGAGGGAGGAGGGAGAGGGGTGGGGGGAGGATGGTGACGGATACGAGGAGGAAGAGGTGGAGACATGAGGAGGAGGAGGGAGGGAGAGATGAGGAGAAGGAGGATAGAGGGAGGGGGGGGAGGAAGGAGGGAAGAGGAGGATCGAGAGAGGGGAGAGGGAGGGAGGAGGAGGATGGAGGTAGGGGGAGGGGGAGGATGGAGGCAGGGGGAGAGGGAGGGAGGGAGGGGGAGAAGGAGGGAGGAGAGGAATGGAGGGAGGGGGAGAAGGAGGGAGGGGGAGAAGGAGGGAGAAGGATCACAAAAACACAGCGACACTTCCGTACTGATAGACTCAAGACCCAGGCAATCACCCCTCTCCCTCCTCCCCCCCTTCTTCTTCTTCCCTTCCTCCCCTCTCACCTCCTTTGCCCTCCCTCTTCTCCTTTCTCCCTTACGTCATCATTGTTTTCGTCATCGTCATCATAGTCATTGTCGGGGTCATCGTTCGGGTCGTCGTAGTAGAAGATCGTCGTCATCAACAACGGGGTCGTCGTCATCATCATCATTATTATCTGGGTCGTCGTCATCGTAGTCATCGTCGGGGTCATCGTCATCGTAGTCGTCATCGTAGTCATCGTCGGGGTCATCGTCATCGTAGTCGTCATCGGGGTTATCGTCGGGTGTCGTCTAACTAATTATTTACCTGGTGGTGGAGGGTTTTTTTGGCGGGCTTTTTTCCCTCGCTTTTTTTTGGCCTGTTTTAGCCTTGGGTTTGGCGGTATTTATGGCGGGTGTCGGTAGGGTGCTTCTTAATGGCTCCACCCTCCCCTTACCCCATTATTTTTCACCATTTAGCTTACCTTCACCCCTTTACTTCCCCCCATACTACTTAACCTTCACCCCTTTACCTCCCCCATCCATTTACTTTTACCCATTTACCTTTATTTATTTTTTAATTTAAATTTTATTTATTTACCTTCACCTATTCGTTCTTACTACTAACGAGGGCTGTGATTGGCTAATAATAATAACGAGAGCTGTGATTGGCTAATAGTAATAACGAGAACTGTGATTGGCTAGTAGTAATAACGAGAGCTGTGATTGGCTAGTAGTAATAACGAGAGCTGTGATTGGCTAGTAGTAAGAAAGAGAGCCGTGATTGGCTGGAGGTAATGAGAGCTGTGATTGGTCAGGGATCGCTGGTAACTACTTGACCTGTAAATAATCATAATTTTCTCTTCTTGGCGGGAATGACTCACTGGCAATTACCATCAAACACACGGTGACTCCCAATTACACCCCTAATTACACGGCGACTCCCAATTACACGGCGACTCCCAATTACACGGCGACTCCCAATTACAAGGCGACTCCCAATTACACGGCGACTCCCAATTACACGGTGACTCCCAATTACACGGCGACTCCCAATTACACGGTGACTCCCAATTACACGGCGACTCCCAATTACACGGCGACTCCCAATTACACGGCGACTTCCGATGAGCCATATGATTGGTTCGTGGATGTAAGGGACCATATGATTGGCTAATGGGTTGCGAGATACAATGATGACAATAAAACTATCCACACCATTGGTTCCACAGAATCCTAGAGACCACCTGATTGGTTGAAGGATGTTTGGGATAATCTTATTGGTGCTTGGATGCTAGCTAACTCCTGATTGGTTGACAGATGTTACCAATGACACCCCTGGCTTGTGGCATTACCTGATTGGTTAATAGTGACAACATCGATCCTCTGATTGGCTAATAACTGTACCGGATAAATATTCTTCATTGTATATTTCTCACTGTAAATCCCTCACCACACATACACACACACACACATGCCAAACACCACACACACACACACACATGCTAAACACCACAAACACACATGCTAAACACACCCCCCCACCACACACACACCGTCAATGCACTAAACCAATTCACCAAACCTTGAAAGACAACGACAATCAGATGAAAATATAGTACACGTGCGTCTCCTAGCCAAGCCCATTGCAAAAACTGAAAGAGCTATAGAACACAGTGGACTCAGTTGTCTGGGGTACTAGAACACCTTGATGAGTGTGGTGTTCCATATACTAAGAGGGAGCTGGACGCCATCCTCGTCAGTAGCAGGTGAAGGAGCTACTGAGGTGTGGTTTAAGGAGCGGTAGCAGGTGAAGGAGGTTACTAAGGCGTGGTTTAAGGAGCAGTAGCAGGTGAAGGAGGTTACTAAGGCTTGGTTTAAGGAGCAGTAACAGGTGAAGGAGGCTATTGAGGCGTGGTTTAAGGAGCAGTAACAGGTGAAGGAGGCTACTAAGGCTTGGTTTAAGGAGCAGTAACAGGTGAAGGAGGCTATTGAGGCGTGGTTTAAGGAGCAGTAGCAGGTGAAGGAGGCTACTAATGACGGTAGCAGGTGAAGGAGGTTACTGGATTTGAGCAGTAGCAGGTGAAGGAGGTTACTGAGGCGTGGTTTAGGAGCAGTAGCAGGTGAAGGAGCTACTGAGGTGTGGTTTAAGGAGCGGTAGCAGGTGAAGGAGGTTACTAAGGCGTGGTTTAAGGAGCAGTAGCAGGTGAAGGAGGTTACTAAGGCGTGGTTTAAGGAGCAGTAACAGGTGAAGGAGGTTACTGAGGCGTGGTTTAAGGAGCAGTAGCAGGTGAAGGAGGTTACTGAGGCGTGGTTTAAGGAGCAGTAGCAGGTGAAGGAGGTTACTAAGGCGTGGTTTAAGGAGCAGTAGCAGGTGAAGGAGGTTACTAAGGCGTGGTTTAAGGAGCGGTAGCAGGTGAAGGAGGTTACTAAGACGTGGTTTAAGGAGCAGTAGCAGGTGAAGGAGGCTACTGAGGTGTGGTTTAAGGAGCAATAGCAGGTGAAGGAGGCTACTAAGACATGGTTTAAGGAGCAGTAGCAGGTGAAGGAGGTTACTAAGACGTGGTTTAAGGAGCACTAGGAAGATTTGTATAAGAGTGACATAGTGAGTTTGAAGGGCAAGTAGTATAAGGGCACTGAAGTGAAGACAGACTGTGGCTCTCATAACATTCTACCTGTGACTCCTGATAACATAAACATATCACACATTAGTTTCACGAGGACTACAAAAAAAATCACCTGTATGTTGTTGATCGTATAAAGAGTCGAATTGTTTTATTAAAGAGTCGAGGGATGGAGTCATGACATTAATACTGTATTTCGTAGGAGTTACATAATATATAAAGCCGCTGAAACGTATCGAATCCTCTTTTGTTTTGTATTCTTACATTGTGAAGGGCATCAGATCGCATTAGAGAGAGAGAGAGTAGTGGGGAAATATTATTGTAGTCTGAGTTGTATTCCAGATCGTTTACACAACTTATAGAACGTGATGACAGGGGATGAACAGGGAATGAAATCCTCTATAAAGGAATCAGATAGCGATAGGAAGTAGTGGGTCTTATTCTGTAATTTATACTTTGTCTTAAGTCATTTATAGACCATCAAAGTCAATGAAGTGCAACGAATCCTTTATATTTTTGTTCCTCGAGGCCAAGAGCGGAATCGAATCCAATTAAAGAGTTGTGGAATTTATCATTTAACTTAAGTTTTGTTTCAGGTTGAGTTCAGGATTTAACACTTTCTAGACATTCACTGAAACGTATCCAATCCTTTTCATATTTTTTGAGGACACCTCGGAAAACCTTCGGGTCGTCTTTAAGTAATGTTTTAGATTTCATTTTGTAGCGGACATTTTGTTTTTAAGTCGTTTACAGGATTGGAAATTATTGCATCTGCCGTGTGTGTGTGTGTGTGTGTGTGTGTGTGTGTGTGTGTGTGTGTGTGTGCGTCAGAGAGCGCAGTATTGTGCATCACTTTGTGTACCACATATTTCCCAGATCATTAATAGGACGCACTTCACGCTACAGCACTAACAGATCCTGTATTAAACTGCATCTCGGAGCGTGGAAAGGAATCAAAGTCCTTAAAAAGATTCGTGGATTCTATTTAGCGAATTTATTTTGTTTTGCAGGAAATCTAATCTCAATAAAGGGATATTTCTATTGATGAACAACGCCAGTACGAGCATTCAGGAATGCCTGGCTTGAGTGTTCAGACAGCCACTCCACAGTGAAAAAACTACATTAGACGAAGGAACGATCGCCTCCAGTGGCGTTGATGTTACGGTGTGAGCAGAAGAGAGACGCCCGGTACATTCAGGTCGTGTCACGGCGCCTTTTTATACAGGGACTTTTTTAGGGTAAGATTATGTGTTCCTTTGCACCATGACTTCATTATGTGGTGTAGCGCTGACACCCAGACCATGACACTTACCTGCTGACACTTACCCACTAAAATAACTGCTACTTACCAACTTAGGTGACTACTACTAACCCACTAAGGTAACTGTTGCTTACCCATCAAGATAACTGGTATTTACCCACGAAGATAACTAACTTATCAACTAAGGTAACTGCTACTTACCTACTGAGGTAGCTGCTACTTACCCACTGAGGTAACTGCTACTTACTGAGATAACTGCTACTTACCCACTAAGGAAAAAGGAACATTGCAATAGCCGGTTTAAGGGAGCAGTTCCGGTTCTTAGGTGATGGTAAGTAATTGGACAGGTGCTGGTGATATCCTTAAATTAGGATCATACGCCCGTCTAGGTTGATACATCTGAATTACCATACAGCAGGCAGGTATTACAGTAATAATGAACTATGCATTTTAATCATAAACGAATTATTATCAAGCACCAAGTCAACCAAATATTACCTTATTTTAAATTCTAAATAAATATCAACATCAGTATCATCTTTCTCGCCGGAAATTTGAGGTAAAATAAAATATATCAAAATAATCTTCTAAAATTTGGCGGGAAAATGTTAGCTAATGAAAACAACTATACAAATTCTGTTATATAAATAATAAAATAATTAATTCGGTAAACAATTCTTTATTATTACTTCAGTTTAGAGAATTATTATTATTATTATTATTTTCACTGGGAATTTGTGATTAATATAACAGTAGGAGTTAATAATTTTTCAAACAATCTGGTGGGTAGATGGCCGCCAGCCTCCCCACAATGCCGCGTTTTGATGCCGGAACAAAAGAAGAGCGGGATTGCTTTTGTCTTGTATACGAGACGGAGTAGAGCTATTATTGTCTTGTTTTAATGGGATATATTGTATGCGGCCACCTGATCGATAATACTGTAATGGTGACGAGCATATTGTGTGTGTACTCTAGTCATGTGTGTTGTGAAATCATGTCTTCAATTATACAATAGTTATTGCGGACAGGATGATCTGGTAAGGCGAGTTTGTTTTCATATTCAGATCCAAGGAAAGTGAATCCAACAATGACGTTTGTTTGTGTGTCAGTGCTGTACTGTATATAATTTGTGTTATAAGGTTGGTGTTTTGTTATCAACGGCGTGTGTTAGTCTGTAAGATAACATATGATAATTATACATTCTTTTGTAAACATATCAGTAATGTGTTGTTGTATGTAATATATACCTATCAATCTAGTTAATGACTATTTCACTGTTGTCATTATTATTTTATATCTGCGTGAAGAATTTCCGTACAGAGGATAATGTTATTATTGAACGTATTACTACAGTAAAGTATCCTCTGTTTGATAATAAGTACATGGTAGTTAACTTTTATAAGCTGTGTAACTTACACGATAGTTTTTACGTAACATTCCATGATCTTGTAAACACAATATTGCCACAGATTCTCAAGATGTCGTAAGATTTAAAAAAAGTAAATAAAATCCCTCGACTGGATCTGTGAGAACATAACATAACAACACAAACACGACGGTCAAAATGGTGTTGAAATTGCGCGAAGACTCTAGTTAGGGAGCGTCACTTGACTCACCGCAGGCTGGCGAGGAGGGCGTGGTGGGGAGGGCAAGGACAAGGGAGCTGTTACCTTAATATGGTGGGTCAGGTGAAGGTAAGGTTCTCAGGTAGTGATGGTGTACCTTGTCGGTGATTGGTTACTTCCGCTACTGTCCAGGTGTGTGTGGGGGAGAAGGAGCGATGATAGGGGGTGATGAGTGTTGTCAGGTGGAAAGGGGTAGGGTGGGGAGGAGAAGGGAGTGGTAGAATGGGGAGGAGAAGGGAGGAATGGTGTTGGGGAGGTGAAGGCAGGAAAGAGAAGGGGATGGAGAAGAGAAGGGAGGAAGGGGATGGGGAGAACGAAAGGAAGGGCGTGGGATTGAGGAGGAGAAAGAAGGGAAGGGAGTGAAGAGGAGAATGAAGGAAAAGGGGCCGGTGGGAAGAGGGAGGTTAGAGAAGGAGGTGGGGAGGTGTAGGGAATAGTATAGAATGATATACTTGTAGATGAGTAAGTAGGGAGTCGAGAGAGGAAAAAGGACGGAGAAAAGGAAGAGGGAGAAGAAGAGGAAAAGATAGAGGGGGGGGACAAACAGAAACAGAGAGGAACAAGGATGGAACCCTGTGGGAAACCATGACGTACACCTGCGACCAGCCAATTAAATGTCTTTGTTTGGCTGGCCTCTAACTGATTGGCCGGAAGGGGTAATGGCGTTTTAATATAGGAGGAAGATGGAGACATTATGACGACAAGATCGGAAGATTATGGCGGTAACATTGACACACTGACTGAGACACTGGCGGAGTATTACAGCAAGATCGGGAAGATTAGTAATATCCTGGGAAGGTCGGATGATTTCGGGCTGGTAAAATCAAGGGCAGATTGGAAGGATTAGGAGTGGTAAGATCGAATGAAGATTGGAAGGATTTGGGCAGTAATATCGAGGGATAATCAGAAGGTGGCGTTTATCTCCAAGACAACAGTTTCATTTTTACTATAATATGGTCAAGCGTTTACATGTGCTCTATATACTATGAATATATACATACACACTTTCAAACATGTATACTGGGATAAAACACACACACACACACACACACATCAGTGAGATAATAAATGACAGCAAGGGAGACGGCAAGAGACAACATCAGTGACAGCTATACTACTAATAATAATGATATGACACAGAGAGAGAGAGAGAGAGAGAGAGAGAGAGAGAGAGAGAGAGAGAGAGAGAGAGTGACATTTACAGGTTGGCACTGAGTGTGTTATCAAACAGGCCACGCTCCTCCAAGGCCAACAGGCTCACACCACCACCACCTTGAGGCACTCCAGCACACCCTGTTATTGTTATTGTCACACTGTCTGCTGCTGTTGCTTCATCATGGGCCGCCCCGCCACCTGACGCACAGGTGGATTTATGATGTTGTATAGCATGTGTGTAGTGTGACAAATGTGTAAGTGACCTGAGATAACACATGTAAGAGTAGCGGACCCAAAACATCACCTTGCGGTATTCCTTTGACGTAATATAACCATCATAATGCTATCGCCTGCTTTACTGTGTTAACGTTATGAGGCGTACAGTTGGCGTAGAAACGTGAAGTCACACAACACACGAGCAAGGTCAGAAGGATCACATTACCCTCTCCCCGAGGTACTCCTTTGCGATCTGTCATCATCATCACGCTGCCTGGTGCTGCTTCCTTACACCCGGTGTTTTGTTGTGCACTGGTAATGGTGCACAATGCATACAGCGGACAGGTACATGCGTGAATAGTCACATGTAACGCGCAAGCAAGGACAAGGGGGCCCAGAATACCACCCAGAGGCACTTCTCCCCACAACTTGTCTTTATTACTAGTTCTTACGACAAATATCCTTTCTGAGGGTCTCCAGGTCCTGGGGGCGGAGTCCGACGGCAACGATAGGTCTTAGGTCATGACAGCTGTGACCATGAGTTCATCGGGGTGATCATTTTAGCAGGGCGGGGTGGGGCAGGGTACAGTCAGCCTCATGTAAGCACTGTGTACTCTGACAACCTCACCAGCAGAGCTAAATGTCGTATAAATCATGTATAAGAAAACATCTTC